CACCGTATCAAGATAAGTGGCGTTTTATAGTTATAGAGTTATTCTGGTACAGTACAATATATATTTATATATAGTATTATTTATATTTATATTAAACGGGCTGCATCACTGCATCATGTGAATATCGATACATTTGGTATCAGATGGGMCAGTCCATGAGTAAAAGGTCTATGCCAATATTATTTTCTTCATTTTAATTCAACAAAAAATTTAACTATYATCCATATRACTTGTAGTTATGAATATATTATATTATTAAAACATTTTTAATTTTTCTAGGAATCTTAAAATGGAATCTAAACTAGCTAATGGCTTAAAATTATTATACATACCAAAAAAAACAAAAATCAATTCTGGTCTTGGTGATCGGCTTCCAGAGGCATATAAAAAATTTTATAAGGAATGGCGTCACAAGGTACCTGAGCCAGTTTATTACAAACCTACTCCAGGAAAATGGACTAAAGATGAGAAAACTGGAGCTGTAATTCCTGTTCAGAACATACCAATCCCTTTGAAGTACCCAAAAACAATGCATTCTGGTATTTGGGGAGGAGAAGCTATAGTTCAAGGTTTCAAACAAAGTGGTAAATATAAGAGTCGTGTCCCACATTTTTGGACCCCAACATTAAAAAAATCAGTGGTCTACAGTGAAATTTTAAATAAGTACATGTCAACTACAGTGACTGAAAAGGCCCTAGATGAAATAAATAAGAATTTTGGTCTAGACCATTATCTATTGAAAACATCTGCATGTGATTTGAGAACCACTTTAAGTTTAAAAATTAAACGTCATATTTTAATGGCTTTAAGAGACAAGACATTTTATGTAGATGATAATGTAAAACAACAAGAAGTATATGACAAATATAAACATTATTTAAATGATTACACCCACGAAGAAATTGAATGGTATGGTCTAACATTTGATGAGGCTTTACTTAAGATGCAAGAAATAGATGAATTAAATGAAAAGAAAGCCCCATTGAAGGCAAAATATAGACTGGAATTGATAGAGGAGTTAAAAAATAATAATGAAACAGTAGAAGAGAACAAAAGTTGGTTAAATAAACTTAATCCTTTTAATTAGAAATATTATATTACAATATAGTAGTGTATTAATGTTTAAAAAATAATAATTAATGAAATAAAAATACATTTTTGTTTTTAAATTGGGATTTTTTTTACATAACTCCCAATCACGTGTTAAATAATAGATAAAATATAGTGTTAATACTCAATAAAAAAAGTTCAAAAAAGAATTACAATACAATCGTAATCGAATTCTTACAGTGAATATAAAATTATTTGATGCATTGATAATTTACAGATCAAATGCATAACTACATTAAATTAAGCTCCACACATAGTACATGCGTCTTTGTTTTCCAAAGAACATACTAATTGTTGCATGCTTAGTGCATCATTTTTTTCAGTTTGAATTGCAACATTACTAGACAGCGTACTTTTATTAACTGTAAACTGGATAGGATCAGCAGCTGGCCTGGTACGCAAATAGTACATACCAGTTTTTAAGCCCTGTTATAAAACAAATTAATAAAATATTTAAAATTATTTTAATTGTACGATTAACTCACCTTTTTCCATCCATAGAAATGTACAGAGGATATTTTACTAATAGTGGGTTGCTCAATGTGGATATTTAATGACTGAGATTGATCAATGTATGCTGCTCGATCAGCAGCCATATCTAATATAATTTTTTGAGATAGTTCCCAATTCGTTTTATACAATTCTTTTATGTTGTTTGGAATACTTTCTATTTTCTATATTAACATAAATTTATAAGATAAAGTACAGATGACATTCAACAAATTATCCTTAAAATGATTAGTTCCTACCTGTACAGATCCTTTGTAGTAAATCAATTCATTTCTCATATCTTCGTTCCATAGGTTAAGTTTAATTAGATCGTTTAATAAATGACGATTAACCACCTGGAGTAAATAGATTAGTTAAAACAACAATTATATAATCACACAMTTTATTACTAACACTGAATTCTCCACTAAGAGTACGTCTGTAATATAAATTTGTAGTATATGGTTCAATAGATTCATTATTTCCAAGAATTTGTGCTGTTGAAGCGGTAGGCATCGGTGCTAATAACAATGAATTTCTAACTCCATGTTTAGCAATTTTTTTTTTTAATATATCCCAGTCCCAAAGGTCAGTAGGCTTTACATTCCACATATCATACTGCAAAATCTAAAAACATAAACATTGATTAACAAACATGATACATCTAGGTATAGTTTTATCTTAATTTACTCCTTGACTAATTGGTGATCCTTGATAAGATGAATAAGTCCCATATTTTTCAGCTAACTCACAACTAGCTTCTAATGCGCCATAATATAAAGTTTCAAATATTTGTAAATTTAGCTTTCGAGATTCGGGAGAGCCAAATGGAAATCGCATCAATAAAAATAAATCTGCCAAACCTTGTACACCAATCCCGACAGGGCGATGCCGTTTATTTGAAGTTTCAGCCTGTAATAAAAATTATATGTACAAAAACTCTATGTTCATTCAACAAATTTACTTACTTCTTTGACAGGATAAAAGTTGACATCTATTACTTTATTCAAATTTTTAGTGACAATTTTAGTAATTTTTAAAAGCTTTTCAAAATCATATTCTCCATTGGGTTTAACAAACATATTTACTGCAATTGAAGCTAGATTACATACTGCTACCTATAAAAATATAAAAAGATGTGTARAGTATAATTATGTACCTAGTATGATGATAATAAATATGTGATAATTGATTACCTCTTCTGGTGAAGTGTACTGAATGATTTCAGTACAAAGATTACTACACTTAATTGTACCAAGATTTTTCTGATTGCTTTTGGCATTACAGGCATCTTTATACAGTACATATGGCATACCAGTTTCAATTTGAGAAGTTATTATACGAAACCATAATTCCCTTGCTGGTACCTGTCTGTTGTAACGTTTTTCATTTTCATATCTAAGATATTAATAAGACATAAATGTTAATTAGCATTATTTATACATAATGATATAACTATAATTTATATTCTAGAATATGTATAAATTTTTTGATAATTTCAATTACAGATTACTTACCTAATATCTATTAATGATTAGTTCTTTATATATCATTATAAACAAATGTTAGCAATATATTTATTTCAACAATAAATAATAAATATTTAAGACATACTTTTCATAAAGTTTCACAAAATCGTCACCCCAGACATCTGAAAGACCTGGACATTTACGTGGACACATTAAGCTCCAAGGTTGATCAGCCTCAAYACGTCTCATAAATTCATCAGGTATCCAAAGAGCTAAAAATAAATCTCTAGTTTTTTCTTCTTTATTACCAGTATTTTTACGTAACTCGGTATAAGTGTATACATCAGCGTGCCAAGGCTCAATATAAACAGCAACTGCCCCAGGTCTCTAATAAAACCAAATACAATAAAGAAACAGTTATTAACTTAGAATAATATAATCAATATACTAACCTTTCCGCCTTGGTCAACATACTGAGCTAAATCATTAAGGACTTTTAATGGTTCAACAAGACCATGAGATTCATATTTTGGATATTTTGTCCATGTTGTACCAGCTGCACTAACATTGTGTAAGTGTATACCAATACCACCAGAAGATTGAGAAATCTTGGCACAAGTCTTAACTGTTTTACCAAAGTCTTCTAATGAATCTGATTTATTAGCCACCAAAAAACAACTAAACCAATATTTTGGAAAATATTAAATATTAATATTAAATTAAATATTATTAGGCACACCTAAAATATTACATATATCTATATTACTTTACCTTGAAAGTTGAGGTCTAGGTGTAGCAGCATTGAACATTGTTGGYGAAGCATGAGTAAAATACTTTGATGACATTAAGTCATATGTTTCGATAGCTGCATCAATATCTTCTCCGTGAATTCCAATCGAAACCCTCATTAATAAATGTTGAGGACGTTCCACGACTTTACCATTAATTTTTAATAAATATGACTTTTMAAGTGTCTAGAATTTATTATAAAAATAAATATACCACATTTACATAATACGATTATTATTTATTACATAATGAACTATGTAGCACATACCTTGAATCCAAAATAACTGTAACTATAATCTCTATCATGTTTAATAGCATTATTTAAACGATCTGCATGTTTCATGACAACACCATAGTGGAAATCAGAAATAATTTTCATACGTCTTTGATTTTGTTCATTTGACATGTTATACAAATCATAAATTACATCTGTAATAATAAATATTTGATCATACATGTATACTGGTTATATAAATAATTTTGTTTATAAATTTAATAGAATAAATTATTTACCACTGAAATTATTTTTAGTTTCCTTATAAAGATTAGAAATAGCAATACGC